AATAAGGCATTGCAATAATGCATTCTTGGGAATCGTGATGCATAAATAGCATTGTCATTATAGTTCTGCACCAAAGAATTGATTTTTCTCCCTGGCTGGAAATATCAAACACAATCACACATAAGCTCTTTCTCTACTCTCTTATTCAGCACATAGAAAGCCTACTTTCATATTTGAGAGGAATGTGAAAAACAAATTCTTCCCTTTAAGCAAAATGTCAATCTTCCTATCTTTAACATCTTACTCATATCGTCCCTATTTTCAAAGAGTACAATCTGAAGGTGAGCATTTTTACCTATATTCTTCTGTTAAGTAAATCCTAGTAACTTTCCTTTGGACCACTCAGAAATCTTTACCCACCTAAATGTTAGATTGTATCATTGCTTCACTGCATCACTCGATATTACGACACAAACATTTTTGAGTACAATGGATAATTGTGTCTTCTGTCATATTAATCACCTAACATGCTAAAGCTTAGAAATGTCAAATCTACTTCTAATCTTTTAGTTAAGTAATTTAAAGTCATTGTTTTCTGAGACTCATTGCATATTGTAGCACAACGAAGAAAAAAGGAAGAATTCCTTCAGCCCCTCACAAATTGTGTCCATTTTCGGGTAGGTTCATGATATCCATGGAGGATCTGAATCCTAAAGCTTTGTTTGAGTTGCATGCTCTTCCCTCACCTTTACAGGCTCGGAAAGAGCTCTGACACTCAGAAACGTGTTGCAAGATGAAGTGAGCACCCCTGGTTTCCTGCATGTCTTCTACACATCTGGCTACAGGATTAAAATGGACAAGTGAAAAGAGATAGTCTCAGTATCAAAGAAAGCATAGCAAAACCTCAACTCTATCTTCTTGTTGAAATGTTTATTGTCTCTAAAAGTTTTCATTACAGTGGTGAAGTGAAATAGGACTCCCGGGGCTTTACTCAGCTAAGAGAAAAATAGTGACTGCAAGGATTTCTGTCCCTTAAATTACCTTCTGTTCTTAACTGAGAAGTGGAAAGTGACTGTGTGGGGGTGTGCTCTTGTGCTCCTGTGTTTAAACAATAAGGAAATAACGTTGTTTGACCTTTCAGATGAGGAAATTATTGAAAATTCCTGTCCTTTGATGTTGTTCTTTTTTTTCCCCCTGACTACTTCCTACTGACCTTTATTGAACAATTCTGAATTAAATTTATATTTCCTTTGGTCTCTGTGATATTTACTATTGAAATATCATTTGCTTTGTGGATCATTTTAAGAAGTCCTTTATGCACATAGCATTACTGTAAATGAGTCCAGATACTCCATGAAGTCTTTTTTTCTCATCATATTTACCCTTTGATCCAATGATTCAGTTATACACACACACACACACACACACACACACACACACACACACTTTAAATCAGAAAACACATCTTTTATTGTAAAGATACTTGCCTTGTTTTACTGCGAATAATCATGCTCATTTATTTTAACAAATGCCATAAAGAAAAGAGAAACTAAAAATATAATTAAAAATTGTGTCAATGATTAAAAGCTTATAAGTCAATATTTTCAAATAGTATTGCTATTCAGTTCAGTGCAATTTAAAAGCAACAACAAGCAAATGAATTCCTCATTGTTACTAGAGCTCTAACTTTGAGACAAATAAAATAGAAGAAAAGTTGGCCGAGGATTATATTATTCTGACCAATTTCTGTACCAAGAAAGTTTAATGTCTAGTAAACTGTAGTCTTTATATGTAATCTGCAATCTATGAAAAAAAAAAAAGAAAAAAAGAAAAAAAAATAACCAAGGCCGGGCGGTGGTGGTGCATGCCTTTAATCCCAGCACTTGGGAGGCAGAGCCAGGCGGTTCTCTGTGAGTTCGAGGCCAGCCTGGGCTACCAAGTGAGTTCCAAGAAAGGCACAAAGCTACACAGAGAAACCCTGTCTCGAAAAGCCAAAAAAAAAAAAATAGCCAAACTGAATCACTGTGTACCTAAAAATCAAGGTTTAGGAATCCAACCATACCTGACTACAGTAAAAATGGAAATTTTGTTTTCAATCTTTGCACTTACGAAATTGATAGAAACTTAGAGATCTTTGGAGATGAGAGTTAGAAATTAGATTTAAAGTAGGAAATTAACAGCATACAAATGTGCTTTTTTACAATAAAACACCTGCACATTTCAGGTTCATTGTTGTCACACACACGTCATGAGCATACATTGATTATTAAGAAGGCCACATAAAATATGTTCATGATTACAAAGAATCTGTGAAGTGCAGACCTTGGGCATGTGGAAACCCATAAAGACTCAAGAAAAAGTTAGCAACAAATGATGTTTCACCAGAAAGAAAGCAGTTCATGTGACTTTGTTCTTGATGGTTTGCCAAGTTTTTCCTCTTGAATTCTCTGGCACACTCAGCAAATTATGAAGGTCCCCTAAGGTTTGTATTTATGTAGATGATACAGCAAAATATAACATATGACAAATTCAAGCTAAGAATTCTTTAGTTATGGAGTCCATTACCAATGGATACATCTATAAAATATTCCCATACCTACTGCACAGGGAACATTGCAGAAGAGATAGAGGGTCAGGGAGTGGGCTGTGAGTTGGTTTTCCTAGTCACTTCAGAGGCCAGAGTGATATAATCTCATCAACATGATTGTCCAAAGTTGAGCTGAAAAAGCAGGACACCCATGGATATGTCAAATTGGATATCAAAATTTTCATGAGGACTCAACCATAAACAAAGTAATATAAGCGACTGAGGAAAGCTGGGATGAGGAAAGCTGGACTCCCCCAGGGAAGAGCATACCAGCTGTTTGTCCTGTACCAAATACTTAATTCTGTAAATATGCATGCAAATAACATTTTGTGGACTCAACAGATTATATTTAAGAATATATGTATTTTATAGGCCTTGAATTTGAAATAAAATGGGGAAGGATACATGGAAGAGTTTATAGGGAAGAAAGGGAAAGGAAAAATATTGTCATTATACTGTAATCACAAAAATAATTAAATAAATAAAGTAATAGTTAAATTAAATAAATATTAAAATCATGTTTTTAGAAAAGTTTTTTTTTTTCTTACACCCCTAGCTCATCTAATGGCCCAGCTCAGTCAGAACCCTTCCAGATGCCTCTGGCTAGACTTTCATATCTACAACAGAACCTTTCTCCTCACTTATGCCTGGGGGGCGGGGGGATGCCATGTTCTCATTTTTATCTGTTTGTTTATTTGCTTGCATTTACCTGTTTGTACCTTTATTTATTTATTTATTTATTTATTTTTTTTATTTATTTATTTTTTTTTTTTTTGGTTTTTTGAGACAGGGTTTCTCTGTGTAGCTTTGCGCCTTTTCCTGGAACTCACTTGGTAGCCCAGGCTGGCCTCGGACTCACGGAGATCCGCCTGGCTCTGCCTCCCGAGTGCTGGGATTAAAGGCGTGCGCCACCACCACCCGGCCCTTTATTTATTTTTAAAACATAAAAAAATGGCTTTTTTCAAAACAAGAGTATTAGTTGGAAAGTAAAAGAAAAACATAAGTAAATGAAGTGCTAAATGTGACTCCAAATAATAGGTAAGGCTAATTCTGTATAATTGATGTGTCATTTTCAATTGTTTTGGATATTTGGCATTAGTAGGTGACAGGCGCTTCAACAGAAAATAGTAAGTGTGAATCTGGAAATCATGGGGAAAATTGGTGGAAAATAGGGAAAAAGAAAATGGCATCAAGGTTTCTATGATGAACAATATAATTTTACTATCTGAGCACAAATGGTTTGTCATACAACACATTTTGACTTATTTTTTGGAGAATAACAAAAATCCATGGATTAGTTTTTTTGAATAGATTCATATTTTAGAAGTGTATTGGGAAAGAGTATGGTTAGAAGACAATGGAAACATCATGAACTAGTATGAAATTACAGGAAATGTTAATGATGATAGATAACAAAATGCAAGTCAATATAGCAAATAATCAGGTTAATGTTGTGATTTGTGTTTATACATTTTCATTCAAAGGCCATATTTCTAAATAATTTAATACAAAATGCATATAATGACTGACATAGTCAATTAGTGATATTGCCTCTATTTTCTTTTACTTTATTTAAAGATGTATAAATTTTTATAAATATATGAAAATTAACTTATATTTTTGAAGTAAATTTTTAATTTTTATTGTTTATATCTTTATTTCAAGTACAGGATTTAATCTGTACTTGGCCACAGTTATCTCATCACAAAAGAGAATAAATAGTTGCTGAACAGATTTTTCATCACAAAAACTAGAATTCTCAACTATCAGACTTACTGAAATATTCAATGCTTCTGCAATTCCATAAATCTTGTCTGGCCTCTTTGTTTTCATCTCCCAAATCGGAGCTGTGTTGTCTGGTAGCAGTAGATTCTTATTTGCAACGGCATTCAACTTGTTTAGTCAAATACTACCAAACAAAACTATCATTAAATATGTCATTTCATGATATTCTAGTTTCCTTTAGCTTTCACATTTTTTGTTCTAAAACCAGGATACACCTTTTAAGTATATATGCCATGTGTGATAGGCCACCTGTGTATGTCCCTTTGTTGGGATAAAAGTTCTTACTTCAAAGAGAATAGCAAGAAGTAGCAAGAGTCTAAACCCAAGATGAATTGAGAGAAGGTCTTAACATATAGTTTAGGATGACCTTAAAAATTCTACATACTGTGAGTTGGCCAAACTGTAGTTCCCCCATCTGTACTAACCACATGCTAGAATTGTAGGCATGTGTTACCATATGTAGTTTAATTTATTATTATATGAAACACAATTGTAATTTAAATGAATCAAATTATTTTCTGAACCATTCTACATTTGTTATTATTCTTGGTGTTTGTAGTAGTCATTTAATAAATCAAAAATAAAAAGATGGCAATTTTAAAATTCTTATCAATACCAATGGCTTGGTACTGATGTACTATGTTTAATACTTAAGATTTGTAATAAAAACAGAAGACAATGACAAGGATAATAATAATCATTATTATGTGGCTTAAAACACTGGAAAGATTGTAAATGACTTTGAAAGTAATTGTCAAAACTAAGAACTTATAAATCTACATTTAATTTTATCTCTGGATTTTCTCTGATGGACACAATGCCCATTCTTTCAATGTCTACTTCTACAATTGCCATAAGAATCAGGGAACAAAATGATTCTGAAATATCTTTGAGTTATTTGTCTATTCTGTTTGGCTGTGTAACATTTGTGTTTATATTTTGCATCCCTTCAAACACTATATTTCAAAATATAGTGATTTAAATTTTAAACAACTGTTATGTGTGTGGTTACTAGTATTTGTTATCAACTGAAAAGGACATAGAATTAGCAACAGACAAGCCTCTAGGTATACTTGGTAGAGATCATCTAGATTAAGTCAGCCTCTATCTGTGCTAGTGAGAAATCATCTTGTTTAGGATAACTAAGGTGGAAAGGTATTCCCTAAAGGTACACCCTAATAGCAGGTGATGTAATTTCATTGGCTAATGTCCTAGACTGCAGGGGAAGGAGAAAAGCAGATAAGCCAGAGCTTCATCACTAATCTCTGTTCCACGTTTGTCAGATGGGATAGGTCGGCCATGGTAATGCAATTCAGTGTTTCTGGCTGTAATCAAAAAAGTCTATTTTTTTTTTGTTGTTGTTATTGTTCAAATCAGCCTCAATTATTTGGTTGAGAATTTTCTCAGAACAAATATTCTTTTATTGTCAATTTATATCTTAGTAGCCTATATTAACCACACAAAAGTGTTAATGACTATCATGACATTCTTCATGTTTATCATGTGCTTTAATCATGTTCAATTTCTTCTTGCTGCCCTTCTTTCCCCACATTGCACAAGTCAAATAGTCTCCCTTCTACTTTAAAGTCTGTTTTTTGATTGTTTTAAAATCTATTTTCCACATATCAGAGAAAGAACATTATATCTATGTTGGGGGTATGTTTTTTTCTTAAATATGACCCATCAATTTTCCAGAAAATAACATAGTTTGTTTTTTAATGCCTATTTGTCTGTAGTAAACCTCTCTCATATTTCCTTTTTCCATTCAACTTGTGATAAGAACGAACATTTTTGGAGATTAAAAACTTCAGGAAATTTGACAGTTTGTTTTTCATGTACCTCACTCTGTTATAAGCGGTCTCATTCATCAACATTTAGTCAGAGAGAAAATATTCAATGGGCCGTGAATACATTGCCTTTCAAGAAGAAAGAACAGGTTTGTGGTGTTTTCCAGAATCTGTAATGGAAGTAGTCTCACTGTGGCAAATCTTAAATCATTTCATGATGTCACTGAACAGTGTTGGGAAGACATGGCAATGAATCTATCTTGTAAAGTTGCACAAGCAGGGCCTGCACACTATTCACAGGCCAGCTACTGATGGCATGCAAGGGCATGACTACATGCACAGAGCCATGCATTTTCACTGGTAATGAAATGAATTTCTTCCTTGGCCGGTATCTGTGCTAACTCACAATTTTATGTTCAGTAGAAAGATGGGGAGGTTTTGCAAACACTTTATCCTCTGTGATCACCATTGGTCTACATTTTCCTGAGATTGGGTTCTCAATAATGATGGTTGACATGTTTCTGCAATAAAACATAATGTGATCCTTCACCATAGCATATATTATGGTAAATCTAATGGATCCTGAAAATATATTTGAAGTTAGGTCACATCCTGGTAAAAAAAAATATTGTCATTTAACTCAAAGGTAGCTCTGGAAATTAAACATTAACAAAACATATGAATGCTATATATACCAGAAGAGAGCATAGATTTTAGGAATTTTTACAGGTTTTAATCTTTTTTTTTTGGGGGGGTGTTATGTAGAAAGCCCCAAGATCTAAGTCACGTATTTGAAACAGCTGACCATGTCACAATCAATTGTGGGGATAAACGTGTCCTCCTTTCCTTTACAATTCTTAGTTTTAAAAGAAGTAATTCTTCCTGTACATTGATAATATTTTAAATGGCATACAATAGACTGGAAAAAATCAAGGTCATTGTCAATATTGTACCCTGTTTCACAAACAGCAATCTATTGTTAAGTTAAGCAAGTATTTGCTAATCAAGTTTAAATTGAATGTATTATGTATCTCTGCATCTCAACCACATAGGAATATTTTAAAATAAGAATCTCTTACGAAACATTTTAAAATAAGTATCTATCCTCTTATATAACTCTCAGTATACAAAGTGTATCTTTATGACTTTTATTTTATAATATATTTCTAGCACAGATGCTTTATTTTTATAAATATTTGTATATTATTCATTTTATTTATTTGTCTCAAAATCAATTCATTGTGTATTTTACATTGAAGACTTATGCTGGTATTTTAGAGTACCATGTCTGGGTTTAAAAGAAGAATGCATTACCATGCTATGATATATATACTCTTTTATCAACCACCTGTCTTCAGCAAGTGTTCTGCTGGTGTTCCTGTTATTTAAATGGTCTTTCTGAAGTGTGAAAATTTCTATATGATGCTATCTATAGGCTATGACAATGGAAAATTTATAGAATATTTTGAAGTACAAAGTGAAGGACTAAAAACCATAAAAGACATAAGCTTAAATATTTCACTTCATTGATTAATTTTCTGTATTATAAAATATTCTCTCATGTTAGCAATTTTAAAAATGTATATTTTATTTTGCATAAGTAATAAAACCAATGTATAACATTCTTTATTTCAATAACATTTGATTAATAGCTACTACTACACTTTATAAAATGACATTTAAAAAAACAACATATTCTTACAAAATTTTAGAAATCAATGTTCCTTTTGCTGTTCTTGCAGAGAACCTATGTTCGGTTTCCAGCATCCATATCCAGAAACTCATAACCCCTTTGAAAGCACTTTTAGGAGATCTAATGTCCTGTTTGAGTGTCTGTGGATACAGGGCATGCACATGGTACACATACATAAGTGTAGGTACTCACAACATATAAAGTAAAAGTAAATAAATTTTTTTGATAAATTACACAATTCTTAATGGCTTAAAATAAAATATCATGGGAGTTCAAGCTAATCACATGTCACAATATCTTGGCTTATTGTATTAAAATGTTGACTTTGATGAAATGTTCATAAAGACCACTACATTAAGAGATCTTAGTTAATACACACTGATTAAAATGAAGTCATGCAGATAGAAGCTATAAAATACTCGTGGTGGCAATAAACAATGGGTATCTGTTTAGAAGTTGGAAGTGGCAATAAACACTTACAGAACCATACTAATTATTAGAAACAAATAAATAAATGCTCTTTAGCTATTTGTGCTACTATTGATTCAACTTGAAATACAATTTGAATAATAATCACTTCTGTGCTAGTAATATGTACAATGTCATTCTCTAAAAATTTATCCAGCACAGAATATTCATACATTATTTTGAATATGCATTTATTCAATTTATTCTAAAACTAGTTTTCTTTCCTTTTTAGTAATCTAGATATTAGTCAAGAGTCTATGGAGGAATCAATTTTACTAGCTGCTAAGTGTATCTTTCTGGTGACCAAAACATAAAGAACTTATATGTAAACACATTGCTCTTAACAGGCTGGTAAGTGCTAGGTTCTAACAATAGAAAAGAACATTGATGAGGAGACAGGGTATGTTGAGTTTGAAGAATATCTTGTCCCTCATCCAAAAGTATATAGGCAGCACAGCTTTCCTTAACATGTTCTTTTTCTTTTTTTCCTTTTTATTTATTTATTTTGTAAATGGGACTAAAAGTTGGTGTGCACAGCATTGTGGGCGACTCTGAGAGTAGCTGGAGAAGGTATGAAGGTGATCAAAATAAATTTTACAAAATTCTCAAAAGATTAATTAAAAAATGAGGAGAAAGAAAAGAGGAGTCATCCCTGGGTCTGCATGTTGGGGTCAACGATATGTTGAGCTATAGTGAACAACAAAACCATACAGATACCTCCAGGTTCAGGGCAGGAGCACAATGGTAACAAAGAGAAACATACTCTCTTCATAGGAGAAAAACAAAAGGCAAAAAATAAGAGGATGTGAGGGGTGAATGTTAATAAAGACAAATCTTGGATTCAGAACCTCACAACTGGGCTCTCGGAGTATACTTATCATGGAAGCAATGTTTTTAGAAAAATAATGAAGTAAATGTTGGTATCAGAGAAGGAAGAAAGCTCAAAACAAAAGTATGATTTGTTTTCGTTGACTTGGCAATGCTGGCTTGAATCAAGATCTTTTTATTAACTGCTCTACAATCACTTTACCACTGAAAGTTCCTGGTGTAAGACTTTGATTTCAGGCAAATTCCCAGACTCAGTCTATTAACTCAAGGGCTCTGAGAAACAGCAAATACCTCTTATCTCTGATCTTACCTACTTACATCCAGACTGGGTTTTCACAGTCCACCACAAGTGATTCTTCAAATCAAGGAATAGAATCTAAATATCTATGCAATAACAGCTTATGAAAAAGGGGGCCTTGAATTTGAAAGAGAACAGGGAGTAGTATATGGGAGGGTTTAGATATATATATATATATATATATATATATATATATATATATGTGTGTGTGTGTGTGTGTGTGTGTGTGTGTGTGTGTGTGAGAGAGAGAGAGAGAGAGAGAGAGAGAGAGAGAGAGAGAGAGAGAGAGAGAGATATTCCTTATATTCCTAGAGAGATTTAAGTCTTTAAAGTCCAAGGAGCTGCATTTGCTCGGGGCAGTCTTCAAACAGGTGTGTGACTAGGTCCTGATAGAATAGCAGGTAGGCAGGAGGAATAAAATCAATGACAGGTGGCCTAGTTCATATGAGCAAACCACCCAAACTCTCCCTTCAATGCCAATGATCAAGTTCCAACAGTCTTGCAAAGATGCTGGCCTTTACTCAAAGAAGGAAAGGAAAGTTCTGGGAGGATTTGAGCTAAGGAGATGTTATCTTACTATTCCTTTTTTAATTAGTAATTTCTTGAGCTTATGACATAATTAAATAATTTCCCTTTTCTCCTTCCAAACTTTTTCATATTACCCTCCTTCTTGGAAGTCAGTTACAATAGTAATAGCAAGTACACAGGAGGTAGTTGGAAATTTTTATATTTTTTTAATTTAAACTGTATTTTATGTCTTGAACTAAAGCAGTAACAGAGGATAAAATAAAAAACATTGGATTGATGTTAATTTTAAATATAAAGTAGATAAATTAGCATACAGATATGCAAGATATCAAAGAAAATAAAAAATGATAGAAAATTCTTGAATGACTTTGAATTGACTAAATAAAGGGATGGACCTTCCAATAACTAATATGGTGATCAAGAGTAATTTCCTTCATTGTCAAGCACATAAAAAGTTCAGTGTTTATTGATTTATTCTACAAATATGTAGTAGACATTCAACATGAAATATCCAATAGGCATTCAGGATAGTTTTCAACTTTATGGAGGCAATTTAAAGTTGTAACTCTCAGGCTGGAGGTAACTCAGGTGTAGAATAACTGTGTGAGGAACTGGGTTTGACAACATGTATCACACACATACTTTAAATAAATAAAAAAATTAAGGACCATTCTGTAGTTTTATAAATTAAGATTGATAAATAAGTTATAAATGCATGTCAAAATTTGCACAATGATTACAAAGATAGATCATGCAATTTTATGAAATTATGTATTATATGATGAAATCATTCATTGTAAATCATGGAAAGTCAGAAAGATCATTGTATTAATGTAATACACACAGTTACCTGTGAAATGTAAGATTTTCAAACATGGCTACAGAGCATTGTATTTAGTCCAACATGGTAGATGCTAGTGATGTTCAAATGATGTGTAGATCATAGACGTGATGGAGTTTCTGAAGTGAAGTGGAGTATCAGTTTTACTGGACAGCTGGTTAAGTCAGGATCTAGGTAAATTCTGAAAGAATTAAAGAAAGAAAAAAGAACTGCAAACATTTTATGAATTGATGAGACCCCAAGTTGAGGTCAATGTTAGTCACATATAATTTACAAAGGTAGATGTATGGAGCAAATGTCTGAAAATAATGCTAAGAGAACTAAATGCACAGGAAATGACTCAATGGCATCATACTTCCCTTCTACTTAGAGACAACACATCATAACTATGGTGTCAGTGATGCTGCACATAGTTTAGAAGAATGCAAGTACATTGTTTTGCTACTTGAGTTGATATACATTCATGTTATTCTTACAGATTTTGACACAGTGCAATACCAAAAATTAGTAAGGTTTAAATCCATATATGAAGTAGAATTCAATGTATGTTTAAAAACAGTTATTGAATTGTGTTTACATAAATGCCAGACAGCAAAACTTTTGATCAAAAATAATGCATTTTAGGGTGTATTGCGAAGGTATGTATGACCAGAGTTAATGGGGTCAGAAGTGGTATAAAACAAAGTACCAAAAAATTCTGGAAGAGGTACTGTCCAAGGCACAGGATTTTCTCAGCATATCACAATTTGAGGATCTAAATATCAGCAATATTGCCTTCATTAACCTGCAAGTTTCCTTTACTTAAAAGAAAGTTTAGTTTTTAAAAGACAGAGGAAAATGTGGGATAATTTTAAATCACAAGAATACGGAAAAAGAATATACTGGTCTAAGGGACTAACATTGAATACTGTCTAAGAGCTGTTAATTCATCCAATAGATGATATGAAGGTGATTCTAAAATGGTTTGGGAAGGGAAGTAAGAAACAAAATTGCCACATTTGATAATGAGAAGCCTATGGTTGGACACTTTGCACAGCCTTGGTGCAGGGAGGAGGGGCTTGGACCTACCTGCCTCATCTGAATGTACCAGGCTCTGCTGACTCCCCAGGGGGAGACTTTGCCTTGGAGGAGATGGGAATGGGGGGTGGGTTGAGGAGGAAGGCTGGGGGGCGGGAAGAGGGAGGAGAGGGTCATCTGTGGTTGGTATGTAAAATGAATAGAAAATCTCTTAATAAAAATAAAAAAGAGAATGATGTTCAAAAAAAGTATCAATTATAGAGGAAATAAGAAAAGAAATGTCAAACATTGCTGGTTTTCTATACAAACACACGCTTTTATATTTCAAGTCATCATTAGAAAATAAAATCAACCTTGTATTCTAGAGAACACAATAATGATTCCAAGCAACTGGAAATGGAGTCTTTGGTGTGACAGTTCCTGGTTTATTTAAACAGCATGACAGAGAAGTGATCCCCATTTGGGCTGTGATAAATGATCTTGGCTGTGAAGAGAAATGTCATAATACCGTACTATAAAATGTAATATAAAAATGAGTCGTTTCACTTTTGAGGCTCTATGGGAACCACTATAACTTATGATTAATGTTGGTGGGAAATACACATCAAATCAGTAGAGTAAAGAAGTGTAATGACCCAACGTACTTCAGGAGTAATGATTTTATACTTCAGTCTCAGGAGGAATTGCAACAATGTGAGGTGATCTGTAATAAATACATGAGAAATAGGAAAATATTAACTCCAGCTCCATGAGTAATTGCTTAAATGAGAACTTTATTATTGACAAGTGTTTCGTCTTTAGTTCACAAAATGCTTCTTGTCCCTATTTTTTCTTGTCCCTATTTTTATTATCTTATCAATTAATGTCAAATGTGCTAAGAGTAGTGAACTTCGGAGCTAAACTTAAGTTACAGAGTACAAAAAGGAAACAGGACTCAAAATGCGTGAAAAATCACCAGCAAACAGCAGAGAAAGGGGTTTGGAAAATTAATTGGAAGGGGTTGTGAATGGTTGTGTTTGTACCAGGGACAAATGGATAATGCTAAGAAAACATTTGAGTTGGAGTTTATATATAGTTAATAAGAGTTTCTACAGATTCCAGATGGTAAGATGTGACCCTTGATAGCATTCTGCTTTGTTAATTTATGTAAAGTGGATTAATTTTTTCCAGAATTTCAATCAACTTAATTTTCTTGACTAAGAAGATCCACTAAAAAAACAATAAGTGTGTGTGTGTGTGTGTATGTGTGTGTGTGCGTGTGTGTGTGTGCATGCACATGTATGTGTGTGATTTTAAAAGGCAATATAAAAACAACTTGACAACTAAAATTGTCACTGAAGGATCCCACCCATCATAGCACATGCAGTCTGCGGATGCCCTGACTTACCGCTGGACTTCATCATCTTTTCCTACCTGCCACGTCTCTCTTCCAGCTTCTTAGACTCCTGGGTTAGGTGCAGAGGTCCATAACTTCCCAATCATCTGAGGTTTGCCATCATTGTTGGAATTGCAGCTGTAGGCAATGGGAGCCTAACATGCCTCCTAGTTTATATTCACAGCTTTAGAAAACCAGGCTCAACGTGTAAATATTTGTTGAATTCAGAGTTCTGTTACAGAAGATTCATTAAAAATTGTATGTAAACCACAAGGACTTGTTTAGGGACGTGGGATTCAATGGCTCATCTGCAATTGTGAATTTCATAATTAGATATAGTCTGAACTGAAGAGAAACACATAAGGATCACAGTTATTAAAAAAGGAAAAACAGAAAAATGGAACTAGTGACAGAGAATTAGAAAAGTACTCTCAAGTACTTCATCAGCATCTGCTCATGTCTATTGTTGTATATTTATCATATTTATGTCAATGTTTCCAAAAGCACACTGTTAAAATCTCATAAGAATAGTTTTATCTTCCTATTTTTCTATGCTCAGAATATAGTTCAATGTTCCAGACAATGGAAGTTTGTAATAGATACTATTTTGAGTAATTATTGGTAAACCCAAAACGTAGCTTTTCCTGATTTTTAAAACCTGCTTTTGCTTTTTGTTTCTGTGTTCTATGAATTTTACTTTTTGAAAACATGTTCTTTTATACTTTGTTTTATTTTAATTATGCAAGATTTTTTTCTGTTATATGGGGATCACTGTTTCATATTTTAACTATATTTGTGAAAATTTCCTTCATATTCAAAACCACTCTTCTAATTGCGTTTGTCATTAGTGAACATAACAGTTGTTCACTTTTTCCTCTTTAAAACATTCTTATCAATCATCATAAAATATTTCGACAATACAATATGAATATGCACAGATTCTAACTAATCATATACAATCAACATTGAAAGTATTTCTTATAGATACAAATGAAATTTATATGAATTACTTATTTTCCAGTTGAAATTTTTTAAGAATGCTTTTAATAGTTTTTCAATTAACATCACTCAAAGATATCAAGGTAATTAAGCAGTAAAATTATTTTTAGTTATTTTATTACAGTGTATCTTTATTATTCTGATTTGATTACATATATTTCTCTATAGTATTTTGGGGCATTAGTTTGGGTGCAGCAAACAGTAAGAATTGTCTCATATTGCCACTTATTTAGATGATGAGTAAAAAAATCAATTATTCTAAATAAATAACCTGTGTACAATTAGAAAGTGTAAGAGAGAAATTTGCCTCTAATTTATTAGTTAGATTGCAGCTGAAATTCTGTCAGCCCTTGGATTCTCATCATAAAAATAGTTATGAACAATAATCAGAATCTGCTAGGAGAAAAATTTCCATAATAACAATAGAGTAAGTGTGCTTGTCATCTACAATATTGCAAGACTGTTGCACACAGAGTACAAAGAGATTCATTAATGTCAGTGTATACAGTTTTATTTTCTACTATATTGCATCTTCTCAATTACTTACTCATGGGAGTCATGGGTTACATTTGTTTAGACTTGTGATTTCCCTTCAATTCCGGTGTCTCTGTCTACTAGCAAGCATTTTGTGGATGACACCGTGAAATAATGCATAAATTCTCTCTTAAATGAGATTCCAATTACAATTAGAAGTGTAGAAGTCAAATAAGCAGCAACATAAGAAACAATTTCCTTCAGAAACCCGAACCCACTTCCCTTTTCAATACACACTTTTAAACATGTCCATGGCATGAGCATTCGCGCGCTAACAATTATCCAGAAGCCAGCACAAAGTCTGCTTCATCCATCTACTTGCTCAGAGGTTAAAAATCATCTCTCTTCTCTACTTTTTTCTAGAAAAAAGTGATGTCATTTCCCTGGATTATGCTGTCCATTCACTTTTAAGAACGGAGCCCAAATTCACTCCTTAACTGTTTGGCTCAACAGTACTTTCTCTTTCCTCTAAAGTCCATTTGTGGACAGCAAATTTGGTGCTGTTGTTCTTTAATTTTGTAATACATGCTTCTTTCATCGGATAATTAGGCTTCTCAAATAGCTGGTATGGTCTCATTGTTTACTTTATTGTTTCATTTCGTAAAAATCAACCCTATTCTTCAGGAATTGTTGATAAATTTAGTGATCATCTAAACTGTGTACCCAATCTGCTCCTTCTCTAAGAAGCAAGAAGATAGACTTGAGAAAAAATATTCAAATAATTTTAATAATTAATTGGGAATATGACTCATTTTCATTTCTGTGCTTAAGTTCATTCATTGGCAGTTGAAAGCATAATTGCATGTATTTCACTATATCTACTGAAAATAGAGAGAGATAAATACAAAAATCATAAATAATGGAATACCTTCACCCAGTTTACTTGACCTCCAAAATGGCTGTATTCACTTGTTAGCACTATCTCATGTTGGCTATTTTAATATCTTCATCTATAAAAATGTACAAGAAATGTAACCACCCAAGATTTACTTGGTGGAGAATGGTTAAATAGAGTTTAATTAAAAAATAATCCAGAAAATATCCTCTCTCTCTCTCTCTTTCTCTCTCTGTCTACCTTTCACACTTCCTCTCCCTCTCCCTTTTCTCCATATGTATCATAACATTATTTTTATTTTTATTATAATGAATGCTAGTATCACCTACAGCTGTTGACACATGTACACTTATTGCTCGTTACTTATACTACATTATTATATCTACAACAACCAAAGAGCCTGCATGGAACTGACCTAGGTACTCTGCATATATGCTACAGTTGTGTAGCTTGATCCTCTTGTGGGACTCTTAACAGTGGGAACAGGGGTAGACTCCAACTCTTTTACTGGGTTATAGGACCATACTCCTAATCATGCTGGGTCACCTTGCCCATCCTTAATACAAGGGGAGGTGTTTAGTCTTACTGCAACTTGACATGCCACATTTTATTAATACTCATGAGAGACCTGACCTTTCCTGGATGGAGATGGGAGAGGGAGGGATTTGAGCATGGGAGTAAGGGGGCATAAGGGGACAGACTGGGAGGCAAGGATGGGGGGGGGCTGTGGCTGAGATATAAAATAAAGAGATGAATAAAAAAGAAAAAGAAAAAATCTAGACAATTTAAACATTCTTTGAGTATCTTCTACATGGAAGAGGTTGCTTTAACGTTTGGTGTGAGTTAATAATTATTAACAAAATCAAGAGAAGTAAGTATTGTTTTTCTCCAAACATCTTCATCTTTTTAGATTAGCTGTTACTCTTCCTGAACAAATGATGACTGAGTCTCAATATGGGGAAAATAATATGTCAAAAAATGTGTTTGTCATCTGAAAAAAATGAAAACAATTCTATAACCTATCAAAGGGATCATAAGATTGATGGGGGTGGTGGCCACATTGGCCATATTGGGTTCATTCAGAATGGTATAGGATTCTTGTGGGATATAGGTTTGAGTCAATTTTACTGTGGGCAGTTCTAAAATATGATCTTCCAGAATGACAAGAAGTATGAAAGTGGGATGCCCAGCCTTTCCATCTTTTCATAGTAGTGTGGTAACACCTGGCATGAACATGTAAGGAATCAAAGAGAGAAATTACATAGGGCTAGGACAAAATAATTCAGTAAATGTGATATGATTTTCCTAGAAGTTGTAAAGTGCAGGGCATAACAAAACACAGGTTTGTCTTGTGATCCCTTGTTCTTTGTGAAAGGTTTGACTGATATCTTTGCATAGATTTTCATGCTTCATTCATGATGAAATTCATTGGCAGATATTTATAACATAAGGATTCTTTAGACATAAAAATTATAGCTTAAAAGTTTCCTTTCTGCATTGGAGATATACATAGCTTTGGAAACCAGGTGTTCCTCAGGGAAGACCTGCCCAATTTGCCCCCAGTTGCCAGACAGCAGGCAGTGCTTCTGTGGGAAGGTTCCACTTCTCCAAGACCCTCCCCACAGTAGTCCCTGAAATCTACAAGCCCTGCCCCCACACCAATCCGTCCAAGACCCCTGCCACTTCCTGAGACTTAGAGACCAGCCCCCAGCTCTTCTCTGGCCCAGAGAGCTCCCATCCAGCTCAGAGAGGTCAAATCTAGCCCAGAGAGCTCCCATCTGACCCAGAGAGCTCTAATCTGGCCCCAGAGAGCTGTCATCAGGCCCAGAGAGCTCTCATCTATCCCAGAGAGTTCCCATCCTGTCCAGAGAAAGAGAAAGCTCTCATTGGACAAAGAGCCCGGCATTGGACCAAGAGTAAATGCAGGAGACAGGGAATCTGCCAGCCTTGATTAGATGAAGAGTGGCTTTCTGAGAAGTAGAATCAACCACCTCTCATTGGACCAAGAGAGGCTTCATGAAATGCCAAATCTGTCATCTCTGACTGGACCATGAGCTCTGATAAGACCAAGAATGAATCCACGAAGAGATGGGCAGATGTCAAGGCAGAAGTACATACAACAACATAAAGAGCAAAACAGCATCACCAGAACCTAGCCCTCCTCCAACAGTTAGACCTGAACATCACAAAGTGGAAGAAGCAGAAGAAAGCAACCTTAAGAATAGCATCATGAAGGTGCCAGAGGCTTTTAAAGGAAAAAATCAAAAATGAAATTGAGGAAAAGCTAAACAAAAAAGTGGAGGAAATCAATAAAGAAAATGAAAAGTCAAACAAAAAATGGGAAGAACTCTATAAAAAAAAACTAGAGGAAAAGAAAAATAAAGCAGAATAAAACAATAAATTCCTTAAGGAAAACCATGAAAAAGCAATGAAACAGGTGAGGAAAACAGTCCAAGACCTGAAAAGGGAAAGAGAAACAATGAAGAAGACACAAATAGAGGGAATGCTGGAAATAGAAAATCTGAGTAAACGAACAGGAAACACAGATGCAAGCATAACCAACAGAATACAAGAGATGGAAGAGTGCATCTCTGGCGTAGAGGATACAATAGAGGAAATGGATTCATCAGTCAAAAAAAAATACCAATGCCAAAAAAATTATTACACAAAATATCCAAGAAATCTGGGACACAATGAAAGACCAAACCTATGAATAATAGGGATAGAGGAAGGAGAAGAATCACAACTCAAAGGCACAGAAAATATATTCAACAAGATCATAGTAGAAAAATTTCCCAACTTAAAGGAGGAAATGTCTATGAAGATACAAAAAGCCTATAGAATACCAAACAGAGTAGACTCCCCCCAAAAAAGTCCCCTCACCACATAATAATTAAACAACTAAATGTACAGAATAAAGAAAGAATATTAAGAGCAGCGAAGGAAAAAGGCCAAGTGACTTATAAAGGCAAGCCCATCAGAATAACACCCGATTTCTCAATGGAGACTTTGAAAGTCAGAAGGACATGGACAGATGTAATGCAGACACTAAGAAACCATGGATGACAGCCTAGACTAATATACTCAGCTAAACATTCAATCATCATAGACATAGTGAACAAGACATTCCAAGACAAAGCCAGATTTAAACAATGCTTATCCACAAACCCAGCCCTACAGAAAGTACTAGAAGGAAAATTCCAACCAAGGAAGTCAGATACACCCTCCAAAACACAGGCAATAGATAACACCACAGCAGTAAAACCCAAAGAAGAGAAGTACACACACACTACCACCAAAAAATAACAGGAATGAACAATCACTGGTCATTAATATCCCTTAATATCAATGAACTTAATTCACCTATAAAAAGACACAGGCTAACAGAATGGATACGAAAGCAGGACCCATCTTTCTGCTATATACAAGAAACACACATCAAATTCAAAGATAGAGACTACCTAAGAATAAAAGGCTGGGAAAAGTATTTCCAATCAAATGATCTTAAGAAGTAATCGGGTGTAGCCATCCTAATATCCAGAAAAATAGACTTCAAACTAAAATCAATCAAAAGAGATCAAGAAGGGTATTACACACCACTAACTTAACTTATGACAAAATCTTTCTTTTGAAAAAACAAAACTGTTTGTAGTTTGAGAGGCAGTTTGCCCATGTGAGCAATGCTACTCTGTTATGCCATAACCCATATTATCTGAGACGCTCTGTACTTTGTTATTCTCACTTACACTGTACAGTAGGATATATCTAGGAGGTAAGTTGTGAAGAACATTAATCATGTGATAAGACCCACATAGACAATAAATAATAAAAGTTTTCATTACACCAATAATGATGAACTGACAAAATAAACTAGTGTGTTATAAATACTACTTGCTAGGATTTTAAGACATGTTAAACATATTTACATGATATATTGTAAAATTGCCAATTTTCTTACAAATTTTATAGAAATTGAACAGCCTTGTGCTTATTATAACCTGTAATGAATCAAAAACATTGAGGTTTTAATGATTCATATGTTGCCTATATAACATCAAAATAAACTCATTACATTGTGTGGTGTATTGTATCAAATAAGGAGAAACATGAGTGTTTGCTATTTTCTATTTTGATTGTAAATCTTATGGAAAATGTATAAATTTGGAAAATTCAGTTTGTAAAATAACGTTTGCTGTATGTTCTAGTGGTCCCAAAGATGATCATGGTACTAAATTCTCGTGTCTTGCTACACCCATCAAGCAATGGCTCAATATATTCCTCTATGTTTGTGATGATGCTAATGTTAGCAAACTCTAAACCATACACACCAATGTTAGCAGGAGCCTGGAATAAGTCATGTTTACTGTCGGTCATAACTGCCTCAAGAAGCCAAGTAGAATTGTGCTAACATTTAGAGTGAACACCTCTGTGATGCTTGCTATAGAATGTTGAGATAAGTAAATATGCTGTCAAACTTTTATAAATATTTATGCTTATTTCCTTAGACCAGAGCCACTGGCAGCCTGAGGCTCAGACTCTTTTTCAGAGCATGATGGTTAATGTGATGACTCATTTATGTTCAAACTGATGAGAATGATTGAATGCTGAACACTTCTGTATTGAGAAAAATTGAGTTGGTCCTATATCACCCTTTACCCAATGACCATGGAACATCACAGACAATGCCAAGAAAAGCACGTGAGTGGCAGAGGACAGAGAGAAGCACCTTTAAGTGTTGTCATCCAGGTATGACACAGCTATTGCATTCATGAACACACTGGAACAATGGACACCTGCAAAGGATCTGGCCCTTCAGCATTCCATCATGGATAGAGAAGGTCTCATCAAGCCTCACTATTTCCTGGTGTGTTGGTTATTTTGTTTTGTTTTTTCAAGACAAAGACAGGGCTTCTTTGTGTAGCCCTGGCTGTCTTGGAACTTGCTCTTTAGATCAGCTGGCATCAAAGGGATTAACGGCATGCAAAGCCATCTGATT